GGTGGATTTGTCAGTTTTAAAACCATACTGGTAAGGTCTAATCAGCTTGTTACCGATGGACTTTTGACTTCCACACAATACGATGGTTAGAACCCTATATACGATATTTAGGATGCAAATCTCACTACAATTAGCGCATACCATTTGTCTAGGTATTACCGTATGCCTACCCATCAGATCTTGCTTAGTTAGTTGGTGGCTAGTACTACTATGTGGAGCGCTGGCAAGACCAACATCGTAATTGGAATAAAGTTTTTTGCTTTGTGCTATCGTCTCTTTACATGAAATATTTGTGACTTGAAATAAAAATTTTTGATTAAATTCAATTTTAAAGTCAAAGATATGTCTTCGTAATCAACACCATTTTTCATTAATATCGAGTCATAAAAACATTTTTTATAAGTGTTCCTTACTACATACACACAAACCAACTACACCTGCAGCATATCATTCTAATAATTCACTTCTACCTCCTTTCCTGCCTAAATCCGCTTTAGTCCGGAAAGTACAAAACTGAAACTGCGAGTGTGTTTGTTTTATGCGTTGAGGATATATATTCGTAGTTGTAAGAGTGAGAATTGTGATGACATACTTTGTGCCAACACTTCTACTAACATTTTGCTGTGCATATCTAAAGTGTTGACAACGAAATATGGGTGTTAAGGTTAAGCTTAGGTGTTTACTGTTGTCTGTACATACGTATGTACATATATACCTAGTGCGTGCTTATGGCAATTGCGTGTCAGCTTAGTGAGTTTTATTTTCTATGTTCGTAGGTATGAGAGAGTAGCTTACCCACATGACGTATATAGCTAGAGACTTTCTTATTGTTCCAACTGCGCTACGCTCAGTTTCAAATCTAGAAAAAGTGTATCTGCTACCAAATATGTGACGATAAGCTTAACTTGTGTTTGTCAATATTAAGAACTTTTATAAGATATAGAGTTTATTTTTATTGCTTACGGGACATTTAAATATTAATCAACTATATATTTTTTGGCGGTTCTACTTTTTGGTAATTATTTAAAATTCAAAAAGGTGGTTTAACTCATTTCTTCTTATACTACCTTCACAAAAGTATGAAAAGCAATATTGACTAAGCTTTAACAATGAACTAGGGGTAACTACTCTGCAGTTGAAACTTAAGACTAAGTACTTAGGAATTGTGTGGGCAAGCAATTTGACGTGAATACTCTGCTTGTGGTCATTGTCAGAGCGCTCGCATCGAAACCTCAGTGCAGTTGTTAAGCAAGTACTTTAATATGGAGCTACGATATGGCGGATTGGATTAGCGAAGATCAGCCGAATCAGAGCAGCCCAGTGCGAAGCTAAACGCATTAAATCAGCTGAAAGCCAGTACAAACGGAACTCAAGTTTACAAACTAAACTTTTACGAGTAAACTCAGTTGGTTCCAAAATGAGCGTGGCCTGCAGTTTAATGCGTCCAGCTAGAAATAATAAAGTCATTCTAATATATCTTCCAGGTCGAGATATTTGCAAAGTAGCGACAGAGTTACTGTATAAAATGGGCAAAAAAGAGGAGAAAAACATAACTAAGCAGAGCTCCAGCGGCCATAAATGCCTTATGCTCATTAAATATAAAGTCAGATTAAGTTGCTCTTTGCCAAAAGACAAATGAAATTTTGGCGTAGAAAAGTTATATTTTTTATATTTTGTATTTGTTTTAAATTGTTCTCTCTGAAGTGCCTACCAATTCCATTGAGGGAAGTAAAGAGACGTTTTGGTATCGTCCGTCTACTAGGCTGTTGAAACGAATAACTGCAAAATAGCCAAATTTATAGAAAAACATATAATACAAAGCTAACTAGGCTTAAGAGTTGGGACAATAAGGTTATGAGACTGATTATATTGCCGCGATTGTGGTCACGCTGCAACCTTGAAATTGCCTTTACCTTCTCCTCTCCATTGATATATTTGCCATTGCTCTAGCTTGTCTAGTTCGCCTGCTGTGTCGTGTTGAATAAACGTGTGTTCGTGATACTCGTCAGTAAAATGGAAACACGAAATAAAGAGCCTCACGATAAAATTTTGCGCTAAATTGGGCAAAACAGCTTCGGAAACGTAAGCTAAAATTGTAAAAGCGTATGGGGATAGTGCTATTAGTCGTGCCCAGATGTTTCGACGGCATGAACAATTTAAGGAGGGGCGTGAAAGCGTGGAAGAGAAGGCACGGAGCTGGAGACCAGTCTAGGTGTGGAGTCGTCCACAAAGAGTTTCTTCCACCGAGTAAATCAAGTCTAGGTGTGGAGTCGTCCACAAAGAGTTTCTTCCACCGGGTAAATCAAGTCTACTATCGCCAAGTACTCGAAAGATTGCTAAAAAGAGTCAACGGCGTGCGTCCAGACATCGCTCGTAACTGGATCCTTCATCATGATAGCGCGCCGTGCCAAACCGGCTTCATCGTGTCCTAGTATTTGACCTCTAAAGGGATCGCCGTGTTGCGAATACCGCCTTATTCGCCCGATATGTCACCCTACGACTTTTCTTGTTCCCTAGAACAAAATCAGTGGTCAAAGTAAACCTTTTTCAGTCAGTTGAGGACATTCAGGTGACAGTGACGAGGGTAGTCGTGGACATCCCAGTCGAAGCATTCAGAAATATTGCGAAGCATGGAAAACGCGCTGGAATCGTTGTGCATTACTTTGAAGGGAATGGCAGAGTTGTAGAATAATTTTGAAATATACGGTCTTTATGAAATCAGTCTCATTAATTAATGGTCACACCTCGTATACAATTATATTAAATGATCAAACTTTAGGCTGGTAATAGAACTATTAAGAGGGCATTCGAATTAGCGCCGCATGCCTTCAAATAAGGCTTGCTTCAGGTGAATAAATACTTGAAATTTAGGAAAGTGATCGAGGCTGTACAATACGTAATCTGTGAATGCCTGGCGTTCTGCGAACAGCGGATAATATCACTAGGCTAGGATAGTCTGTGGGATTTGTAATCAGCAAATGACAAAGATCAAAACGCAATTAGTCCAGGATACAGAAATTTTCTCCACATCAGGAAGTTTATAGTATCTGAAGGTCGCATGAAGTGCAGCTTGTAACATATGAACGAGCCCAACTTAACTTAACATGGTAATGAAAACCCATTAATTTACTTTTATTATTTTGAGGTCGTACTTGGCTAAGGGAACTTCCAAAAGTTTTTTTTTTTTGAATGAGTGGCACTTTGAAGGGAGTTGTGCTTATCATCGTGGAATATGCACTTCATATATCTATATATATTTATATATATATATTTAAGTACATTGGCATATATCAAACATATAGTATTATATAAAGTTATAGTTTGGTTCAGTTTATCAATAATGCCATTTGAACATTTTACCCCAAAACTAACATAAAAAAAATAAACCAAAAATAATAAAAGTTAATTTATGGAAAAGGAATATTCAGGACATAAAAGTAATCACAGCAAAAAAAGAAAAAAATACACTAAATATAAACTACGGGGTTATCCATTTTACGGTCTCCAAAACAAAATAAACGCAAATAAAATGTGTTTAATATAATATTCTTTTCTCAAAACTTTTAATAAATATAAAGTTTGAGCTTTTGTCATTATATGTAAAGCACTACGTCATTCAAATGACCGTCTCGCAAATATTCGCAAACTACGATCTGTTTTTAGTAATTTTTGAGCACTTTTTGGGGCATATTAGACGGTATCTTAGCTATAACTTGACGAATATTAGTTTTCAAATACTCAAGAGTTAAAAGCTTATCCCCAAATAACGCAAGCCCACGAAAAAAATCTAATGGGTGTCACATAGAATGATTGTTGACATTGCAAAAAAGAAAGATTATGCGTCCGTTTATTTCTCTAGAAATAAAGCCATATTGTGCCTCAATCTTGCTGAAACCTCATATGGCCTAAGTTTTGTCAGAAAAAGTTGGTTATCACACTACGAGCATGCACGGAGCGCACCTGAAAGACAATTTATTTTGGCCTCTCTTCAATTACTTGAGAGTTCTCGGAGGCTAAAACACGAAAATTTTGCTTATTGACGCATCCCCTAAGTAAAAATATTGTCTTGTCCTCGTAGAGAATTTTGTTCCAAAAATCGTCCTTCACTGCTCTATTCAATCTCCCAATCGTGTGAGCTAGACTTTATAGAGATCTAGGTGTAAGTCCAAGCGCAAAATATGTAATAATGTGCCGTACGAAATTCGTTGATCCTGAGAACATCGAGAAATAGACGCATGTGGTTCTTCGGCTACACAATCACTTAAAGCCGCGATATTTGAGTTTGAAAAAGGAAAACAGTGCTGGACACACCTACAATATCTGTAACCGATCCACTGTTTTCACATCTATTTAAAATGTTACAAATTACTTGAGTAGTTCAACGGTTATGTGCACCGTAATCTTTTCTTAAAACACGAAACGTGGCCAGGTTTGATTTACCACTTTTCTAGTAGGTTCTAAGAATTTTATCACGTTTTGTGGTTGTTAAGTGAAAAATTTTTCACATATTTTTGTTTTAAAAAGGTCAAGATAAAACTCTTTGGTTTGGAAGTCTCAAAATGAACAACCCCAAAACAGACACAACACGATAACTTGTGTCAAAAGAGATTTCACTAATTCCATTATTTTTGATGCCTCTATACATTACTACTAATAGAAGCAATAAAAAAGGAAAATAAAAAAGTTCTAATAATAAATAGGATAAATCACAAGATATCTACAATTATACCAACAAAAAATAGAGAAAAATAAAAATATAACAAAGAAAGGTGACAACTTAATACAAGCGTGAACATAACATTTACGGATAAGCTAAAAGCAGATTTCAAGAAAAAAGTATATGCGAAATATACATATAAACAAATACTCATTTCCCAAAAGCTGTGGTGTAAAAAGTGTGACTGAATCCCAAAAACAAAAAAATAACAGCGGTAAAATAACAAATAATAACAAATTCTACAACCACAAGTTGCCTACTTCTTGTAATTTGTAAAATCTTCCTCGAGTTACCGGCATTTCTTAAGCGTTCTTCACGCAACAACTTTCTTTCATTAATAATTCTTCTGCTGCGCAACAGTTTTATGAGTAATAGCGCCATGGTTGCCGTCGCCATTTGTTGCATACTGGTCCTGCTGGCCGTCTTCATTGTGATCATCATAGTCGTTGGTCAGACGATGGGTGAGCCCAAGTGAGATAAACTTCAACTGGGACCCGGTAATTTCCCAGACGGATAACAAAGGCCATCGATGAATTGTTAGTTGTTACCAAATCTTAAAAATTTACTACCAATGGCCAAAGCGTACAGCGCGCACCATGCATACGTACATACATTGCATTCGCATTGCACCGAGAAAACCATCGATGACCGACGATTGCCATTGATGCCCCCATTTGTCAGACAGTGCCGTAAGCAACAATCATAAGTAGAAACATTTTGTGGGAAGTGAAATGTCATTAAAAACAGCAGCACCAACAACAACACCATCAACATATACATACCATCGTGTACGACGTCAAAAGAACAAAAAAAAAAAAATATTAAATTGGCTGTGATGTAAAATTCAATTGAAGAGACATTTGTATGTGTGAAATTCTTTGAAGATGAAAATTTAAATTAAATCTAACAGAAAAAAATTTAAGAAAAAAAAATAATTAAAAATAATAATAAAATAATAAAATAAATAATAAAATAAAAAAATTATATTTCATTAAAAAGTTAATTAAAAAAATTCAATTAGAAGAAATTAATTCGTGAAAATGTTATTGTGGGGAAATTAAGTAAAAAAATTTAAAAAAATTAGTGCACGTACTTTTTAGTACAAAATCAACAAAAAAGTACTAAAACGGTACTAAAGCAAAAACAAAATCATTGTATTTTGAGGCGCAAATACAACAGCAACAAAAAATAATAGCAACAATAAAATAACAGCAATTAAAAAAAATAACACTAACAGAAAAATGTTAACCGTATTTATAATATATTAGCAAATCAATGAAAAACGTGTAGTGTTTTTGATAACGGTGTTTAGAATTTTGATGTTTTTAAATAAAAATAAATATAGAACCAAAAAAAAAAATACAAATCATTATACACAGAAAAAAAGAGTTTGATTATTTACAAATTTTACAAACAAAACCAGAATTTGATTGCTCCAATTAACAGTCGACAGTAGAGAATACAAAAAATATTAAAAGTTTGGTTGGAGTTCGAAAATCTAAAACAAATTTTAAGTAATTTTTAATTTTGATCAAACTTTTAGCGCCAACACATTGTGTGTCGCCAAAAAGGATTCTGGATCACTTAACAATATTTCGAGCAATAAGCTGCGCTGAGCACTATACAAAGCCCACGAAAGAGCAGACTGATGCACATATATAAACAATAAAGGGTTGCACAAAAAATGCAGCAACAACACTGGCTCAATATTTAGATTAATGCTGAAATGAAGGCGCATACGCGTGTGCAAAATGTCGAATTGGACAGTGTTTATTATAAAAGGAAGCGTAAAAAAATTTAACACAGAGACAGGCATGAGAATATTGGGTAAAAATTTGATTTGAGAAAGTAAACCATGCGAACATTTTCAGTTTTTGTTTTTTAATAAACACCAACATCAACCACCGAAGGTGCTATTTTCCAGAATTCAGCAGGCATAATTTTTGGAATTATTGAAAAAAGAGGAGGAGAAGTTGATGTATGCACCATTCAATGCAGTTGGCTGATGGTCAAAAGAATGCAAAGGCAAATCATATCATTTGTAACAAAGAATTTCCCAACTCAGCAGCAAACATAGACAGAAAAATTACAATAAATAAAACCTAAAAGTAATAATGAATTCACTTGTTAACATTAGCAGTTATTTCGGTTTTCAAATATCAAGTTGATAGCAGGTGAATTAATTAAATATAAGAACTATATAATTAATAATTAATTATATATAAATTATAATAAAAAAATAAATAAAATCACAAAATATATACACACAAACAAAAAAAACTTTTTACAATTATTTTGATATGTTTTCAAAACTCAAGAAACAAAAATAAAATTATAAGAATTTAACGATAAAATTAAAAAGAATTGAAAAATAGCGTTACGTTTCTACAATTCGACAATTAACCAAAACGGCAAAACAGTAAATAGTTGCAGTTCAGTCAGATAACAAAAGAATGAGTTCATTGTTTCCATATACTACAATAATACTGTTCGTTGTTTAATGTTTGGTTAGACGCCATTGCGTATACGTAACTTTCAGTATTATGAATTCAAATGTTTATCGTCTATAGCTTTTCTACAACAACAAATGTGTTAACAAATCTACAAATAAGTGAACAGCATATAAACAATAGAAATGTAATGTAAAAAGAGAAATAATTAAAAGAAAATTTTCCAAGGTACTGTTAGCTGATATTGAACAAAAAGTAATAATAGTAAGAACTAAAATAAAAAAAAAAAATTAAACAAAAATATAAATGTTAATAATTACATTAATAGTGAAATTGGCTTGAAATGGTATTAAATAAATTGCAAAAAAAAAATTTCAGCCACAAATTATTAAGAAAAAAAAATTAAAAATATAAAAATAACTACGAAACAAATAAATAAACTGATTATATATGTTTGCAAATAATTGTGTTATGAATATGTATATATACCAGTGAAAATTACAAAATTAAGCAAGTCCACCAAACTCATACGTCATATAATTAAAATAAAATAATATATATAATACATATGTATGTACGTGACCATTCAAATGTTTGAAAGATATTCTAAAACTAAATGCATAAGAAATAAGAATAAGTAATTCAAGTAATATTAAAGCATAAATACAATAATTAAAATATTATTAATAATAAGAATAAACAATTTATAATAAAATAGTAAAAAAACTTAATGTGGAATTTATTAAATGCAATACATATATACTATATATATCCATAAATGTATGTTTTACCAAACCGAGACTCAATACAACTACACTGAAATAGACGTGTTAAATGTGTAGTGCTATAAGTGTGATAAAATATAATCGTACTACATATATATGTCGTTGTTTTAATGTCTGTAATTAAATATAACAACCTATGTATAACTAACTATTATTGGACTAACTAAATGTGAATGAACTAATTTGCTAAACATAGAAAAGGAAGTTGTTAAAACGTATGTGTGCACAGAAATCAGTACTTGAAATAAATAACTTAATAGAAAAATTTAATAACTAAAATAAATATAAATAAATGTGAAAAATAAATAAACAAATTAAAATTAAATTCTCGTCGAAGAATTCTACTAGAAAAACTAGAGTAGAGAGGTAAGCCATTTTTACTTCCTTTAAAGGGACATGTTGGGCAGTTATATAGAAATGTTCATGTAGTATTTTTTGTTGCACTGTTTTTAACATATATTCCGCACTAAATTCATTGCTATTTAAAACCATAGTTACGTATAAATATTTCGCGTTTCGAATGCTTTCGGAAAGAATAAAATATTTACTTTTATGAATCGTCAATGTATTACGAAACCTGTTATTAAAATATTAATAAGATTAATAATTTATTATTGATTGTTAATAAATCAAAATAGTACTTCATCAACACACAAGTGTCCATTGGACACACAATAAAATTATGTTTATTGTGACGTTAAATTGATTTTTTATTTATATTAACTTATAATTTAAAAACCAGAATTTGAAAGACAAAAGACGTTGGCATAACATAATTCGTAGTGGTATACATAAAATGAGTTTGTTTCCTTGGTGAAAGTTATAGTAGATCCCACTAGAAAGTTTTGGCATCTTTTAGAACGATCACACATAAAAAAAACATTGTAAAAAATTTTAATGTACTCGAATATAAAAATAAACTAATTAAAAATATAGAAATTATCATTCTAGTAAGAATTAAAAATCTAGTTCTACAAATTGATAAATCAATTTTTACGATCGAAGCTGAATAATACATATCATTCACACCACAAAGCAAAATTTTTAATAAACTATTTAAAATTAATTTTAAATAAACAAATTTCTCATTTTAAAATTAATAAACTTAAAGAAAGTTAATGGAGAAATAATAAAAAAAAATATTCACCAATATTTCCACCACTAAACGAATCAACATCCGAAAATACTTTTCAATGTGGTCTATAAGCATATAAATACAAAGTAACTGACGAAAGAGAAATACAAGCATTACAATGTTTTTTTATTGGTTTTATGCATCGACGAACAAGAAGGGAGAGAATATTATATTTAGGGAATACCCTTGCATCCCAATATTTCTAGCGCAATGGAAAACATACATATTTGCTCTAGACAGGGATTATTAAGCCTCGTTGATAAAAATACTAGATAATTAGGAGATTCACTTACACCTCACACAATTATTCAGTTTATACCTAAAAAATTATTTTTATTATTTAATTATATTATATTAGCTAATTAAAAGCATCATTATATGTATTTAAGCATGTATCTTCAGCCCTGATCTCCACCAAATAAATATATAGTGTGTAAAGTGAAATGGTCACCCCACATCACCTCTAATTTTTTGCCATGGAGCTCAATTCAGAACTCCATTTAGAGCGCAAACGTCTCTATGAAAAAGTACCAAGGTATTATTTAACATCCCCTTTCCTACTCCTAAACATCCTCTCCTTCCTACCCCCCTCAGCTTAGACAATATGTGTGTACCACTTTCTTTCAGGGCCAATCGGCATTTAACCCTTTTGTCAATTTTTACCTAATTGCTCTTCTTTCGTAATGTTATAGCCAACTGATCCGGATTGCACTTCAAAAAGTCGCTGTTTTCGAATTACTGGCATTTTTCTGTCTAAACTCCAATTTGCTTCAAAATCTCATGAATGCTGTTCTGTTTGCTTACAGCTTTATTTTTGAAACATACAAATTTATTTATTGAATAAGAGAGATCTGGGGTCAAACCGCGGCAGTTATTCTCTACATAAATATACATAGTCTGATTCAGGGTTTTCACTTAATGTATTTGTGTATTTGGATATTTAGAGAATTTAAATGTGTTTGGCGTGATTTTAATTGAAGTCATCAGCTTAAGATAAATTAGGATGTGACTATGAATTTCGGTGTCCAGAGTTGATACTATATATTTTAACAATGCAGGAGCTACATCTATTTTTTTACATTAACCATTGAATACCACACATTTCTGGTGTAGAATATCAGAACCTCATTCCTTGCCTTGATTACACTTAATTGTATATGTAAATTATATACTCGTGTTATAATTTTTATTAATGATTTT